ATCACCGTCTCGCGCGCCGCGGCGCGGGCTTCGCGCGCGCTCTCGCGCCGTTTTAGGGGTTGGATCGCGTCGCCCGCCCCCCTCAGAGTGCATCGCCCGACGCGCGCCTCGGGGGATGGCGCCGAAGGTGTCGAGCGCATCGAAGGCGCTCGAAGACGCCGTTGAGGTCGCAAAACGTCGGAGGAGCCGCCGGCGCCGACGCGAGCCTCGGTCGAGCTCCCTCCCCGCCCAGCGCCCCCCCGCTCGTAAGCTTCTGCACGCAACGGGCGTTACCTTGGAAATGATCGAAGGCAGCGAGGCCCGGATACCGACTCCACAAATACGCTCAAGAGCGCAGGGGGGCGCCCGACTCATGCCGGCAGCGTCGCCTCCACGAAGTTGCCCGAGTCGACGAAGGCCTCGTTCGCGTAGATGAGGTAGACGATGCCGCGGAGCGTGTGCTCCGTCGCGTTCGCCTCGCCGCGGTGGACGACGGAGTAGTCGTAGAGCAGCGCGTCGCCCGCGGCTAATTTGCCCGGCACGGTGGCCCAGGGCGTCGCCGTGGGCAGGTCGTGCGCGAGGCTCTCGCGCTGCGGCACGCGATGCGAGCCGGGCCAGAACGTCGTGTAGCCCGTCGCGTCGTCGAGGTCGACGAGCGGCAAGAACGCGCACAGCGCGTTCGGGCGCTCGGGCCACGCCTCCGGCCAGGCGTCGGCCGCGAGCGGATGTTGGCCGTCCGCGTGCCACGGCTGCGCGGGGGCGCCGGGGAGCGAGAAGACGACGCCCGCCTTGACCCGCCGCGCTCGATCGCCGAGGAGCGCCTGGACCGCGCCGAGCCAGGGCGCCGCGGAGTCGGGCAGCAGGCGGGCCAGGACTTCGTCGTCGTCGTGGGGCAGCGCGACGTCGTAGCGGCCCGCCGCGCGCCGCATCACCGTCGAGAACCGCGCCGGCGTGCCCGGCGGGAGGGCCGCGAGGCGCCTCCGGACGTCCGCGACGCGCGCGAGCGCGTAGTCGCGCACGAGCTCGAGCCGCGGCGGCGCGAGCGCGCCTCGGAGCGCGCCGAAGCCGAGGTCGCGGACGAGGGCCTCGAGCGGCCGCGAGGGCCGCGCGGTCGCGTCGTCGAGCGCGAACGCGGGGAGCAGCGGCACGGCGCAGTCGTGCGCGAGCGCGAGCGCGTCGCGGTCCGCGCCGTCGGCCTCGGCGGCGAGCTCGACGCCGCCGCAGGACGGCACGAGCGAGATCGGCGCGCCCGCGACCAACTCGGCGAGGCGAGCGTCGACGTCGCCGTCCGCGGCCTCGAAGTCGATGGCCAGCTCGAGGCCGCCCTGCGGCGGCGCGCGGCGGGCGCGCACTGTGTATTTGTCGTTCTTCTCGACGCGCGAAATGATCTTTTCGGCGGTCTGAGAGACGTTT